GCATGACATAAAAGCTAGAAAGATGTATGTAAATGACATGCAAATTAATATGCAAATTTATGCTAATTAGGCCGCCCACCAGCTATTTTGGATTGTGGAGAACACTGGCAGTATACAAAATTGTGACAAAATAACATTAAATGAAGCAGTGTTAACTCTCACTATTGGCAACTGAAAGGTTGTTGTCTAATTAATAAAATTAGAATAAAGTTGTAAACAATTTATCAGTATTTTGAAAAATTCATGTTTCCAATAAGTTGTGCACCCAGCATTTCAAAATGGCATAGATTGGTGACATTAATATCAATATTATTGATATGAACCCTAATATTGTTAGTGAGTTTCCAGCATGATAATAGTATTCCATTATACAAAAGAAAACTTCCCACAATGCATTTCATGTGTGCAGGAACATGCTCAGTAATGCCAAATTTGAATTGTGCTTTAACTGCCTTAAGGTAGAGATGCAGGTTCGTGGGCACATGGGAGTGAATTTTTATTTGGGGGGGGGGGGGGTTATTATCCAAACAGTCTTGGCTATATAGACTGTTAAAATTTTGTAAAATTGTGAATAGAAATGACGGGATCTCCATATTATGCACTATATTTAACTTTTAACAAAACGATAATACATTTAAATTTGGAACTGTTACAGCCATTAGCTTTGACCTTTTGTTTTGAAATTTTCACAAATGATTGACAATGAGTTTATCTTCAAAACGCCGCTGTTGGGGCATTGTTTTTGGTTGAACAGACAACTAGCCTGGGTGTTAATTTATGCATAAACTTGAAGTAGTGAAATTTGAGCTGCTGCCCTGCAAAAATGACAACTGGTAGACAGTTTTCAAGACAACACTTTCTTCATAGTAAACAGATGTACCCATAAACCAATTTTGACAAGAAACAGAAGCATGGTTTAGAAGCTAATTTTTTTTAAATCACTTTTGACCAAAAAAACACATTTTTGTGCATATTTCAAACTACAGTGTCCATAAAAAAAATACCATCAAAATTTAAAAATTCATACAATAAGCTTTCCGAAAATATATAGTTTTGTGGACAAGGGAGGTCATCTTGGTTTCCTAATTAACTAATTAAAATACATCTCTACCTTAACAGCACTAGAAAGTAAAGTACACACCTCTACTGGCTGCATCTAATGCCACACCACACCCTGTAGCACCACCACCAATGACTAAAACATCAAATTCTGTCTCCTTTAAGGATTTCATCTGTTTTTCTCTGGAGGGTAGAGGTTCATAGGACGGAACGCCCATTAATTCCGCTGCTTGTACATGGGCAAGTTGTTGCTAGTAACAGAATAATAACACATATGCGAAGATGAGTAAATCAGTTTAAAATCTTGTGACACAAGGACCAATAACAGTGACAATTTGATGGTTCTGCTAGGAAACTGGGTCTGTATTTATTTAATTTAGTTTTAAAAAGTACACAACTGGTAAAAAGCTTTAGAGGAGCTTAGAGGAGGTCATTCATTATAAAGTGGTTGATTGACGAATGTGAACGAGACATATTGGAATCAGACTAGTCTTGGTCTAGTCCCACATTTTGATGTTCAAAAATCACAATTTTATATCTCAATGTATTTTTAGATAAATACAGTATATTTATCTCTATACGTGATATGTCATACGTTTAATTTTTGCCAACCAGCATGCAAATATCTGATAACAAGTATGTCGCTCACTGATTACAATAGCTCTATAACAACATTGCTGATAACAATAACGCTATTTTATCTTTGAGAGACAAGTAACTGCACATGTATGTAAGTATATGTGTATGCGTACAAAATCTAATAAGTACGAGTCCCTATATTTAGACTATACCTACATTTATAAGGCATATTCAAGTTAAAAAATTCAAGACTACCGGGTACAACTTTAAATAAGTAGACTTCACTCACGCTTGAATGTTCTGTTCGGCTGTATGCTAAATATGTAGCTGTTGCTCCACCAGCGACAACAGCACCGCCAACGACAAGTCGCCGCAATCGATGAAATGCTGCCATCATGAACCAGTAACTAACAACTAAAAGGGAAAGGATTCATTATTAGTAGCCAATAGTAAGACATGACTTATGTCTGAACTGCGTGTACCGGTACTACCGATTCTTTTGTTTTAATACAATAAATAAACCTAGCAGTAAAACTGGTTGTGAGTGGGGAATATATGAAGATATCGATAGACAGACAAGCAAGTAGCTAGGCCCAGTTTTAAAGTTGTGTAGGCCAATATTTATTCTTTTGTTCTTGTTTAATTACGTACGGTATACTGACTATAGTTTGAACGTCAGAATCAAACATACACAATTTACTGTGGTACCAGGAGATGGTAGGATGGGAAATAACTTAATAGTTAGTTGTCCATTCAATGCTGGGAATAGAAATCTAAATAAGTTCCATTCCATTCCGGTGATCGGTGTTTTACAAACCCAAACCATATCTTGGAGCGTTTCAGGTGTTAATCATTGCCGTTAAAAGACAACAATCTTGAGTTTGCAGCCCGCCATCTTTGACTTGTTGGACTGTGCTATATTTGGTTGACAAGCAGGAGTGTCAACAACACATTTTAACACTTTTGTTCAGCAGCTACGCTGTTTCACTTTCAACAGAATTGTTTCAGTTTCAGGGAATTGTTTAAAAGGTCTAAAACGGTACGTAAAATGCATTTATGAATGACCAATAAATGAACTCTATATAAAATTTATGGTGAACTTTATTGTTCCACTCCAACGACTGAATGGTAGATGTTAATTCAATATATACTTTGGAAGTGGTATCGAATTTGATAAAAAGAATAGAACAGCATATATCCAAATCAAAAATAAAAAGTTGATGAATAATAGTCAAGCAAGTCCGGATCGTAACGTTCGGTTGACTAAATGGATGACACGATTGCACCAATTGAACCTATATGATTGTACTTATAGGGAAGTAAACAAATTTCAACTGTTTCTTTGTTTCTAAATATCTTATATATTATTCAACAGAACCTGGCATTTACAACATGCAAACAAAGTCTGTGGCGATCTTTTGTTGCTTAATTTAAAATTGTCAGCGGGAATAGATGCAGCTTAACAGTTAAAAATAAGCAGTGTACAACTATTTGCTTTGTTTTATTTTTGATGCCTTTTAAAATATAAATGGTGTCACTATTCAAAACTGCATTTTTTTGTCATTAGTTTACTTGATAACGATATATTTTCAATGTTGACCGGTCACATTTCTACGCATTTGTTTCTTTCAACTAAATGTAGCTAGTTTATAGCTTAACAAGTTTCTTCCAGTGAGGGCATATAAAAGAATTGGTAGTACAAACAGACTTGATTTATGTGTCAACTGTGTGCCCCCAGAATGTACGCACAGATCAACATGCAGACATCGGTGTTGTGTCTTCTGCGTGCCCGCTCAACACGCCCTCCGATATGCTTTTGAGGTACCCGTAAATAAATGCACTAAAGTGCATAATACATGTGTAAATACAGACTTTACTTATACGTCCCTAGGGCATGAATCTTAAATTATTTCATGAAAACTAGACATTTTACAAATGTATGAGTTTCAAAACGCATCCATGCTATTTTTCACTTTCAACGGTTCTGTTTTTGTTTCAATGGATTATTTAAAAGATCTTAAATGACACAAACTTGCCTATGAAAAGTGTATTTAGTTACGAACAAATGAATGAATATAAAATTTGTTACAAAACTTGTACAACAATTTTTAATTACTCTTTATAATACTCTTTATCTCATGGTGAACTTTATTGGACCATTCCGACTGAACTGTGAATTGCAGATGTTACATTTGTACTTCAATATATAGTTTAGAGGTAGTACCAAATTCAATGAAGCGATAAAATAGATAGTTAAACCAACAGTAAAGTATTAAAATGACAAGTGGGCTGCAGGCACAACCGCTCTTCAATGCACATTGCTTCACACCTTCTCCTACAGGCAGACGTGTCCCACATCAATACCTATCGTCGCTCTCGGCTGAAGATTTGTGTTGAAATGTAATCCTTAGTTGTGGCAGTATAGGCAGGATGAGGAACAGGTGTTATATTTTGTAAACTACACCTCTTAACGATCCACTCCTGATGCAAAATTTTAGTTCATCTCAATGGTAAAAATCCTTTATATAATATATATAAAAATAATCACAACATCAATGGCAGTCTATTTACTTCCACACCCACAATGTAATAATATATATCATGTTAGCCCAACTATTACATGAAACGCAATAAAAAAATATTCCGCGATGAAAACGAATTTCACAAAACCAACATACTCTATGAGCAAAGCATCACAGTATCAACAGAACCACAGTCCCAGTGACTGTGACAGGATGTAGAATACTTGTAGGGGTATACTTGAGTTTGTGGCACACTCACCAGCAAGGGTACTGTGGCTTTGGCCTCACAATTGAGTCTGTGACGCAACCTGAGCTGCGCATCACTACGGACATCGCGACGAGGTCAAACAAGGTCATCGTATCAGTATGTGACCTATTAACATACAACCTTACCCGCGTCCATTAAATATTGCCGATTGATCAATACAACTTTCGATTTCGGATTTCGAACCGCTGGAAAAGCATAGATCAATTATTTAGTGACCCAGCATCTCGCGACGATTGAGGGACAACTCGCCACAGATAACTGACACTGTCCGACAGTTTGAGAATCTACATGTCACATTGGCGACGATGTCACGAGATATTGCTTATCAAAGCGTAAATACACTTACCCCAGAGCTCCTACTGCTCTGAATAAAATGTAACAAGGTGGTCGAAGTTCAACCAAACCAAAACAATCCAAAAAACCCACGAGAGTTTACACAGATTAAAATGGAAGGTTCTAAGTTAACTTGCGCATGCGTAGAGTGTAAGTTAGAGGTTATTGACCTTTGTCCAGAAATGATCTCCGTTTGTGCTTGAATTTGTCAGGATTTTACGGTACTTCGTTTTTAAAAACTAAGTTTTAAAAAAAGTGTGGTTATACGTAATAATAATAATCACGATCGACTGTGGAAATATTTAAAATATTTATATAAAACATTTACCCTGGAAGATCCTCACGCTTTAATTAAGTCCGAAGAATATGCTTTCATTGGCAAAAAAGAAGCTATTTGGTAACGTCAATTTTGCGGGTTTTGTACAATCATTGGCCGATTTACCTATGATTGGCCCAGATGTTTAAATCGTCATTTGCAATTGATAAAATATTTATAAATATTCTGTATAAAAAAAAACATTCTTGCCAAGCCCATTCAAGTACGCTCTCATTGGCTATAAATGTCCGGCTAGAAGCCATTACCCAGAAATCTTTGTGTGCTTAATTCAGTCATTGATCGGTTTACGGCCATGCATTCGTTGTCGTGTGGTGATTGATCAGTTTTCAATCGTCATTTAATATTTATATAAAATAAATAAATAACGAGATTATCGGTTATTTAATTGTAGTAAATGTTTCTATATTACGTATTTTATACTTACAGAATCGCCATGTGCATTCAGGCAGTTAGAATACTCAATCGTTCGGTTGTTTCTGCCTGTAAGTGTATATCTGTCTTGGTCCCAAGTTGGCACTCTGGTCAACAAACCAACTAACCGGAGCAATATATTTGAGAAATTGCAATCACCTAATATCGTGTTTGATGTGACCCAGCATTAATCACAAACTATCCATGCAAATTCCATTTTATCAATAGCTAGTTTTTAGCGATATGATCCTGAACGAAAACAATTACTTTAAGACTGAAAATATAGGCAATTCTACCGTCTTCCCTCTCAGAGTTGCTATGGTAACCCCTTTAAAAGATGAAGTCATCCGGGTACAAAATGGCGGAGGTGGTAGGTACTTTGAAGAATTCGGACTATGTTCGTGTCGGATCTTCACAAAATATTCAAAATATTCATTTTAAATAATTGAAACATGATATGGTAAGTTGTTCAATATTGAATCTGTGTATCATTAAGTACAATTTGGAAAATGAGCTTTAGATATGGTCAACAATATTAAGTTTTATATCAGTAGTGAAAATAAAGCTAGTGGTATTACATTGCATACATTTGCGTATCTGGAAATTATTGACTGTGTCCATTTGTGTGTGGTTATATTTTACCATATTTTCATATATTTATTCACAGTACAATTATAATTACCGGGAATATCTTCGTCTGCATTACCAATCATAATTATGTGACGTCACATGGAGTATGTGCGTTTCGTTTTCACGAAGCACGCCAGCTATCAACGTAAAGCAGAAACATCGGTCTGTTTGGTCGGTATTACTACTCATAAATTAAAGTGTAATGTGAAATACACATTAAAATACTATTTACACACATCGTCCGTAAACACATCTCGTTAAAGAACAGCTGGACACAAAGTATGTGTTGTGACGAAGCATTATTATAAACGTTGCCATGGCAGCACCTCAGACATACTAAGATCATCTAATACACTCTTGTTTAATTGTTTTCAAAATATCATGAGAATATATATTGGCGATTTTTTTTAAGTCGGCGATTCGAAATTGACAGAAAATTGTTCGTTCCTCCAGGTATCCAAATAAATGAATCTGCCATAAACTCCAATCGACAAAAAAAACAGTACTGATCATGCTGATCACCGATATGATTGCCTCACTTTGTCGATTCAAAATTAATTGGTTTGAAATATACGAAATTGCAAGTTCATTTCCTCTATATTTATATTTAATGCATCGCGGTTTTCATAAGTTCCCTGGGGAGACTCTCTTGAAATGTATCCCATTTGACCCCAGGCATAGCATCCACGATGAATTAAGGGATTGACCAGTTCTCGGGTGAAAATTTGTTTTTTAAATTTGTACTGATATAATGGGAAAAATATAAAATTACTAGAATAACAAAAAAAAATATTTATAAAACACACACACATTTGAAGGAAAGTAAAACATGAATTTTGAGCATTAAACTTGAATAATCTAGCTCAAATTCAAGTAATAAAGGCATTAAATTTCCACTATCTCCACTCGCAGAGGGACTTATATGTCTGGTGGGTTGAGCAAAGCCGTGATGCTGAAGAACGCTTACACAGGTAGTTAAATATACTAGCGGTACATACGGTCCATGTGTGTATTTTTGATGATTAACGTACCATTATAGCAATATACGTCGATATCATGCGAGTATTTAAGTCAGTCTCTGAATCTCCGGGAAGATGTAAAAAAATATTTGAACCTGTCTGCATAGTTGCGTTGACAGTGTGCATACCAGACATTACAAGCATGTTTGTTAGTGGATGGGGTAATTCAGAGGACACATCGGTCTCGTTTTGTTCTGGCTAAACGCTGTTGGAAGTCCAATAACTTTGAACTCTGAGTAGAAAGAAGTATATTGAACGATTTTTCATTAAGCATGCTGTTTTGCAGTTGTTGAATATCGATATGAGTTGGTTAGATATCACTGGCAGCATCTTTCATGTTCTGTTGTTGATTAGAACGTTCGCCCCCCCCCCCGTTCAGGGTATCTATTCTAACTATATTTTATATTATTAACTTTATTTCAGGACAACCCATATAGAAAATAAACAAACTTGCACTTACTTAAGTTAGAAGCCTACTCATAAATTCAAAAACCCGGAATTTATTCATTTTGCAATAAATTGTACTTCAAGGCAATATAAGGTTATTGACCTAAAAAAAGTTGGGGGTCACCAGCCTTTTTTTCGAGAAATTGATGGTTGTATTTTAGTGGAAAGTCGCCATTTTGACACTATTCTAATAATTTTACCACAGGTTCCTACAGCAGAGATATTATGCAATATCTCAAAATCTAGCCTGGTGACATATATTGTTAATGATGGAGTACTTTTTGTTGCTCTGAAATATTTAAAAAATCTGGGTTTTAAAAAGTGTCAAAAATGCAATTTTTCTCTAACATTGTGTTCTATGGCATTGTTCTAAAAATAACAATTTTCAAGAAATATTAGGGCACGTTTCTCAAAAAGCATAATTGTAACACACAAAATAATGCTATTTCATTGTACCATGGGTCATTATCTTCATGATTGTACATAATAAACTAATGAACATTGTCATGCGATTTATGACCAATTTTGTCAAAAAATTTGACTAGGCTTCTACCTTAAAGGGCGGTGGTCGTCGCGCAGCGCGTACTCGAATTTCATGTAAATAAACAATGTATTTTACACGCTATGAGTCCCATATCGAACAGGACGCGGCACGACGACTGCCGCTCTTTAAGAGCCTGCAACTTGAACCGTTTACGCAACATACTCCACAGATGATTCAAAATAAACACCACTTCCTAACAAATTCTTCAGAACAGAATTAGTACTTTGCGTAATTCGTTGCGAAATGCTTAAACTCATATTACGTAACTTACCATGGAAGTCATCGACATACAATGTTGCAAAAGATTGACTAATACTAATGTTAGATTTATTTATTTGTTTGTTTATTTCTTTTATTTATTTATTTATGGGTTGTTGCAGAGAACACCAGAAATGTTACATTTGAAATGACAGTAATCGATGCCAGGATCTCAACAATATGCCAACACACTGTGCCTTCTATAACCCATGGCTTGGTACGCCCCGATACCTATAATATCCACATTCATGATTACACTCAATGAATGCATGTTTTCGCAACGTTTCTGGTAATTCCGCATCAAGTGAATTACAAACCATTGGTGCGCATTCGCCACCCAATATCACGATGTGACTAGAAGCGAGAAATATCATAGACCTTAGACCTCTTTCTAAGGTCTATGGTAATATTAACATACGTATATGAGTCGTTACACTATATCTAACCGTGTGACATTTCCCTCAAATATGTCTGTTTTTTTCCAATATACGACAATTCGACGAATTCTGAAGTAAACATATCAGTTGAATCTGGCTTGATTGTTATCTAATACCTGCAGTGACTACCTGTATGACTTCTGCATGTCCAGCTGAGCATAGAATCACTACACACCGGAAATAATTCTGAACAGGATAACGCATCAGACCAAAGGTTGTAGCTGAGGTACGACCGGAAGATACTACTCAGACGTGTTTTATACAGAATTTTCTACTTCAAAAAGTATCCTTTGATAATAAAAATAACTTCGAGCTGCGGGTGCGGTTGGGGGGGGGGGTGATCGGAACGTTTTCCTCAAGTGTTTTTATGTGTAAGTTTCTCCATGGTATAACTAAAATACATTCAAGCTTATGTTGAATTTATGATTTTACGTGTTCCCATAAATATTATAGGTTTACATGGCAGAATTTTATCGATGCAGAACGATTGCTCCTCCTCCCCAAATTATAGGCGACGTAGATCGCAGTTCGACCCGGTTCGTTAACGCCCTTGAACGGGATTTCTCGTCGGTTTAACAGACGGTTGAGACAA